ACTTGATATGACAAGTGCTAGAAAGGTTAGGACTTGATATGACAAGTGCTAGAAAGGTTAGGACTTGATATGACAAGTGTTAGAAAGGTTAGGACTTGATATGATGAGTGCTAGAAAGGTTAGGACTTGACTTGGCATGTGCTAGAAAGGTTAGGACTTGACTTAGCAGTGCTAGAAAGGTTAGGACTTGATATGACAAGTGTTAGAAAGGTTAGGACTTGACATGGCATGTGGTAGAAAGATTCTACACAAAGCTGACACTACATGTGGATGTGAATTTTTCTCTTACCTTTAAAGATGGGAACTGGGATTCTGTGTTTCTTTGTAAGAATACCAAACAAGTCTTCTTTAACTGGAGTGTTAAGTGGAGCCTAAAACAGAAGGAAAAATATACACAATAAAAACCTTTAACAACCAAAATCAACTTGTTCATATTTTAATATCACTAAAGTTTAGAGCCACAAGTGCAAGCTTATTGAAGTAGTCGAACAACAAGTACATTCAAATGACCATCTTTCTCCAGCATGAAAAAATATTTCTCAAAATTCCTTAAAAAAAAAATTAATTCAAGTTAACTATTGTATTCTTGAAAAAACTGAAAATTAATTACAATATTTGTAAGAAACTAATATTTCTTATTACAGTTATTGAGAGAAAAATCTATAGACTTAACTAGTTAAACTCGTATATCTATTATCTTTTGTATTTAATATAATTTAGGGCAATGAAGTTAGATATTCTACTTAAAATTAATCACATGTGTAAAAGCCAAGTGCACATTGATAAATCAAAATCCATGTGTTTATATTAGTTGCCCATGCTTTACAACATTGCATCTTTAACCGACAAAACTTACGAGATAAATTTCACATCTGGAGTACTTCAAAACGATATTTATTTCATGTAGAATGTATGTGTGCAATTAATTATAATGTATCACATGTAGTGTTGTTAGCTGTCTCCACGGTGAACCTATAGTCATATATAATTTCAAGAATATGTAGCACTGATGCTAATAATTTATTTTTCTAAACTCTTCAGCAAAAAAGCTGTTTAAAATGCTAGAGGAAAATCTAGTCCACCACTATAAGAAGCCTAATCTTGTTTTGTTCTTGTCCATGAAATTCCAAAAACCAAACAAACACAATTAAAGAATGACAAACTAGTGAATGAATGAGTGGTTGTATTTTGAAAACATCAGTTCTTAAGTATAAAGCACAGAAATAAATTTTAATTTTACAACTCATTTGATCCTATGTAGGCTCAAAGAACTTGGTTACCAAGTGCTTGTTTTTTACCATGGTAAAAAATTAACCTTTGGTGTTTTGTATGTGTCAGAACTGACCTCTTCTTTTAGAAAAGGCTGACATGATTATTTTATCCCGGTCTCAGTTTTTTTTCTGTTGTAAATAGTTGTTAAAATAACTTATGCAGTTAAAAGAGTTTACATTGATATTTAAGTCTTAAGTAACCCAAGAATTTATCCTTTGTTTTGTAGGTGGTCACACTTTGTCAGGAACATGCCTCGAGCCTCGTGCTCTCAACGAGTTGATTCCAGACTGGAAAGAAAAGGGAGTAAGTTTGTTTGTTTGTTTTAATACAGGATTAATTTTGGTGTTATTACAAAATACATATCTACGAATAATAACGTTTCACGTTCAACACGTGCATGTATTCCACTTGAGAGTTTATCTGTTATTCTGATGCTGATTTTAGTGTACGTCATACTTTATATAGTAAACCAATAGTTTTAGTGGTTCAGAGAATTCCATTCTTTAGCAGTAGTAACCCCGCAAAGCTACACGAGAGCTATCTGCACTGGCCGTTCCTAATTTACAGGTTATAAACTAACGGGAATGCAACTAGTCAACACCACCAGCTCTTCGGCTATTCAGGAACCAGAGGATTAACTATCACACTATAATGCCCCCATGGCTGAAATGGCTTGTTCAGCGACAGGGTTCAAACTTGTGACCCACAGACTGAAAGTGCCCTAACTACCAGGCCATGCCAGACATATCTACTTGTAACTAAGATCTGAATCTGGAATGTAATACAAAGTTTGCACAGTTGAACATGCTGGTTGTAGTTGTGCCATCTAGTGAATGAGTTTGTTAGTTTAAAGGTGTTTACTGAATATCATATTATTATATAAACCAGTTCAACAAGTGGCAAACACACACAAAGTGATTTTGTTTGTTTGTACTTAAGCTACTCAATGAGCTATCAAAACCTGGTTTTTTTAACATTATAAGACTTAACACCGAGCCTCTGGGGGCAACACACAAGTGCAAAAATGAGGTAATTTGTACTTAAAATGGTGAAACTTACCAATTTCAGCAGCTTTTTCAACAAGGCATACACGTAGCTCTTTACTATATTCATTAGCAAGTTGTTTTAGTCTAATAGCAGCTGACATTCCTGCAGGACCTCCTCCAACAACGAGTACATCTGTTTCATCAACATATCGTTCCATATCTATGCCTGTGAAGATGAAATTCTTTATGACATGACACTGGAATATGAATAATTTAAATTTATGTTGCCAAAAACTCTGTGATATGTTTGAAGCATGGTTTCATACTGCAGTCCAATAATACTAAGAAACACAATGACATAAAATATTCAAAATAAAAACTGTGGTAGAAGGACGATTTGAATAAATGACAAAACGAAATCTTTAACATTCAAAATGTACATGTGTACTGGCATGAGGTTATTAGCAAGTTGTCTTTCTTACAGGTGTGCCTGAAGAAGGGGAATCCTGTTTAAAATGGTGTGACTGAAGAAGTGGAGACCTGTTTAAAATGGTGTGACTGAAGAAGGGGAGTCCTGTTTAAAATGGTGTGACTGAAGAAGGAGTCCTGTTTAAAATGGTGTGCCTGAAGAAGGGGAGTCCTGTTTAAAATGGTGTGACTGAAGAAGGGGAGTCCTGTTTAAAATGGTGCAACTGAAGAAGGGGAGTCCTGTTTAAAATGGTGCACCTGAAGAAGGGGAGTCCTGTTTAAAATGGTGCAACTGAAGAAGGGGAGTCCTGTTTAAAATGGTGCAACTGAAGAAGGGGAGTCCTGTTTAAAATGGTACAACTGAAGAAGGGGAGTCCTGTTTAAAATGGTGCACCATTAAAATACTTTCTGCAGCAATAATGATACTTGACTGTTTGTTTCAGTTGTAGTCGTTACTGAAAGTACAAGTTTGAGTTACACTTTGATGTTCTTGGTGTTACATTTGCAGATTGACAAAGTAACAGTGATGTGGTCATATTTTATTGTAAATATCCTGATTAACTTAGACTATTTACCATTTATTTACCCAATTATTTATATATGGTATCATTTAAGAAAAAGTTAAATAGTTTTTGAAATACTTAATTTTTTAACTGTGTAAAAACAGACATAATGCATATGAATTGGAACACATATCTTCAATTACACTAGTGAAACACTTAATGTAATTATAACAGGAAATGAGCCGAAACAAGGTTAGTTAAGCTTTCAGTTTCCATACGTGTACATACATTCTTCAATACATTACTCATGTTTAAGGTATAAAGGTTTCAGACTCATCAAGATTATTGCAGGTTTAAATAAACATGTCAACTAATCATAGATAAGCTTTATCAACCATAAATCAGTATTTGAGTCTTCACAACAAAATAACTTTTCAAGGTAGTTAATGAACTTTGATTTCATGAAAAGACTAGGACGTATGATTAGGCTTATCTTTGAATTACTGACCCAAATAACGTGTATGACGTTCATTCAATGCATGTAAATGATTGCCAACAGAAAGTAGGTATTTCATAGCTTGATAATTCTTTTATAATACATCTGATTTCAAGATTTTTCACTAACAATATACTGCTGTACAATGTGAGTCTGTGGTATAAATATGAGCTACAACTCTACACAGATGTTACTGAGCTACAACTCTACACAGGTGTTACTGAGCTACAACTCTACACAGGTGTTACTGAGCTACAACTCTACACAGGTGTTACTGAGCTGTAACTCTAGATAGTTTTTACTGAGCTATAACTCTATAAAGATTATACTGAACTATAACTACACACAGACTTTACTGAGCTATAACTCTACATAGACTTTATGAGCTAAAACTCTACATAGATTTTATGGAGCTAAAACTCTACATAGATTTTATGGAGCTAAAACTCTACATAGATTTTATGGAGCTAAAACTCTACATAGATTTTATGGAGCTATAACTCTACATAGATTTTATGGAGCTATAACTCTACATAGATTTTATGGAGCTATAACTCTACATAGATTTTATGGAGCTAAAACTCTACATATAACTCCACATTTTCTTACAGAGCTATAAATAATTCCACCAAGTTTTATTGAGCTTTAACTCTTACACAGTTTTTATTGAGTTATAACTCTTACAGTTTTTACTGACCTAATAACTCTTGGATAGAATTTACCGATATATCCTATCTTTTATTATTAAAAAGCAATATTAGTTTATGATTACTTTTTATCTATATTATCATTTACATCAAACTCAAACTCTATCTAAATTAAAAGATTTATTTCTGAGGCTTAACAAACAATGAAAAATAAGTTATATTTAAGAACACAAGACTACGTGACAAAAAGCCACACGAATTTACTGAAAAGAGAAATTGACCCAATCAAAACAATGCTTCTCTCAATGAACATTGTTTATTGATGTCGGTTGTCTAAATAATTTATATTTCATCTTCACCACAGATGAATATGAATATATATCTCTTTAAAGTAGTAATAATTAAAGAACTAAGAACATCAGCTCAGATTTCTTTAATTTCTTTAACGCAGTAATTTCCTGATGGGGAAAAATTAATGCTTGCAAATTTAACAATATTATAGAACAGTATGTTTGTTTATCATGCATTTAAAAAACTCAATTTTATATAAAAAATTTTGGTGTTTTAATTTTTTATATAAATTATGAAAAGTATTCTTTCTTCTGTTTTCCACTAATCAAGTTCCTTCTATAGACTTGGTAATTAGTTTCATATATGGTCATTCCTTTTATAGACTTGGTAATTAGTTTCATATACAATCATTCCTTTTATAGACTTGGTAATTAGTTTCATATACAATCATTCCTTTTATAGACTTGGTAATTAGTTTCATATATGGTCATTCCTTTTATAGACTTGGTAATTAGTTTCATATACAATCATTCCTTTTATAGACTTGGTAATTAGTTTCATATACAATCATTCCTTTTATAGACTTGGTAATTAGTTTCATATACAGTCATTCCTTTTATAGACTTGGTAATTAGTTTCATATACAATCATTCCTTTTATAGACTTGGTAATTAGTTTCATACACAATCAATCCTTTTATAGACTTGGTAATTAGTTTATAATAT